CATCAAACTATGTAACACCAATACCAAGGCCATTGTCAATAGCTACATCAGTTGAGCAAGTCCCATTATCGTCGAGCGAAACGCAACCGCCTCTTCCCACTCTACCGTCAATTCAAGATGCAAATTCTTCGTCATATTCTTCGTCAAATTCTTCTCCGCAAGGTGCACCGAGCGATGATACAACACCGTCTGATGAATCTGGTGATGGTACAAGTTTCAACAGTCCGTTACTCAGAACGGGCACAGTCATGAATGACAAACGAGGGTTAAGCCTGAGATCGTCAGTGAGAATAAATAAAGTCCTAACACCGGATTCAACAGACAATGACAAAACATCTGTATTAGTGGACAAAAATAGCAGCAGGCGAGGGAAGATACCGGATATTTGGTCTACCGGTGCCACCTACCGAACTACATCGCCGGTGGAAGAAAAAGATAACAAAGATGAGGGGGAGATTAGAGGTGGTAGTATACGGTTATTTGCGAATTCTAAGTTTGACGACGAAAGTGATTAAGAACTATACTTGCCATTTATCTGAAATTATAGTTCGGAAATACTTACACACTTAATTTTTTTTTATTACACCAAAATTATTAAATTTATTTTCTTCTCTCCCGCGGGATAATATTGCGAGATATTATAGATAGAAATGGCACGGAATACGTCCATTATAAAGCAACCGATTGAATATATTGATACTATAACGTAAAAGATATAATGAATTCATTAATTATTTTAGTTGAGATCTTTTGTAACACGAACTGTTGATCAACCGAAACGGGTTCAAAGCAAGAAACCCACCATAATATTTGGTTATTTAAAATAAAAATGCTTGGTCATCATCTTTCCGAAGACCAACAGAAATACCACATAGACGCAATTTTTACAATAATTTACGTGTATGCTTCACAAATACATTAATAGCTATTAAAATTAAAACAAGAAAAAAAAATCACAAAGAAAACTTCAAACCCATTACATGGTTTTCAAAAGAAAAAATGATAATATATTTAAAAAAATTAGAAAATAATTCATATTTGAAAAATAGGTTTACATAAAAAATGTTCGTAGATGTTTTTAACCATTTCAAAAACATCAAATTTCATTTCATTATTCTAAGATAATGATAAAACAATCATTTTTCTTTAATACTGTATATTCTAAAATTCTAAAATCTAAAATAATTTTGCTAAAACTATCCATTAGAAATAATTTCATTTAATTAAATTTTGATCTTGTTTTTTATTAAATGCCTGATTTTATTAAAGTGGTCCATTTATTGTTATTATTTTTGGTATTAAATAAAAATTTTAATAACTATAAATTAATATTATACTATATACAGTATATACCAAAATTATTATTTTTTATTTTTATAAACAAAAATATCAAACAAAAAAAAACAATAATAACAATTACAATTACAATTACAATTACAATAAAGATTAAGCTTTTTTTTTTATAGTACTATTAACTTAATTTTTTTTTTTATGATATATATAATTTGATATTTTAATTTTTATTTCAAAAATATTTATTCAAAACAATTTCAACTACTTATTATTACAATTTTACTTTTTAAAATCTTAAGTAGACATTTACAATTATTCAATATTATTTAATAATTATATTGATTTAAAAAAATTTTTTAATAGATTATTATAAGCAAACTAATATTTATCTTATTATAAATTATATTATCAACTTATTCAATAAACCTTTAAATTGAATTAATTAATAGACAATTATAGCAGATATCTACTTAAATTTTTTTTTATAATAAAACAGATATTAAATACCAATTATTTTATTGATATAAATATCTTTGATTATATATTATATATTTTTTGCAATACTAGATTACAGCTAATACTAGCCTATTCTACTTCTTAACCTTAACTTATAAACTTATACTTTATAAGTAGGCTTATTTTATATTATAGTAGAACTAATCAAGAGGTGGAATCCTACTACTAGTTTAAATCACCTAACCTATTAATCCATTTTTGTCATAAGATAGATCTAGCTTGTAAAAGTAAATAGGATAATCAAATACCTTAATACTTTTTATCTTGAATCTTTAAGAAGGTAGTATACTCAAATGGTTCAAGATTAAAAGGTCCTTTTCTTATGGAGCTTATATTATTATTTGATAAGATATCTTTCATATCACATCTTTGGTTCACCAGTCTTTAGAATTAGAGAGTACCAGGATATATATACTTTCTAATAAGTGCTTTGAAAGTTTCATCTTTTTTGGTTGGCATATACTATTAAATCTAGAGGTACAAATGCCAAGTGAGATGTGACTTTTATTATCTTCTAATAGATACTTCAAGAAAGAAAAATCAATTGGCTTTGGCTATCAAATCTAGGGATATAAATGTCAAGCAAGATGCAACTTCTATAAAAAAATTCTCTTCGGCTAGCTATAATCTATCCAGAAATATTATTCATATCGATGATCTCTTTCAAGTTAACTTATTTCCTAATAATATAGGGTATGGTAGAGCTTTTATTGGAATTAGATTAGAATCTTTTCTTATGCAACCTTTTTTGCTTTAACTTGTTTTTAGCTCACAATTATCAAAAAAACCAAAGGTTACATTTTTATGCAGCCTAATTGAATTTGATCAAAATCCAAATATTTGAATATGACATTTGTGAAAATCCAATGAATCTTATAAATAAAGAATAAATTTTATGTGTTTTGTCTCTTATGAATATTGAACTAAGAATATGTATTTGGAGACTAGAAAGCACTATCCACTGTACTATTGACCTACTGGTTTTTAAAAATCTACTTAAATTAAAGATAAAAAATTTAATTATAATATATTAGACTAAATAAAATAAAAGAATTTGATAAAATTTGTTTATTATAAGGAAAAAGGTATGATAATTTATTATAAAATTTAATTAGTTTTTATTAAAAGTTAAAAAAATTAAAAAAATTTCTTAAATATATAAAAAATTATTGATTATTAATATTAACTCTTTTTACATAAAATATCTTTAACAGAATCCTTCAAAGTCTGAAAAAGATTTGGATATAGTGAAATGAAAAATTCATACAATGGGAAAAAGAAAACAATATTTCATAACAGAACAAACAGATATAAACAATCAACAAGAAAAAAATAACAAAACAAAAAACAAATATACCAGGGATTAATTCAATTATAAGCCATGCAACACATAATTGGATCAACTGGAATATACTATATAAATTTAGGATTTCTTTTAATAGGGATTGATAAAGCCTTGGCAAATTAGTCAAAGATATATCAATAAATTTCTTTTGGCAATAAGCTGTACGATAAGGGCAACCTTTAGTGAGTTTAGAGAATAAATAGTCTTAAATTTTGTAACTTACAAAGTTATATATACTCAAAACAATATTCAATAAACAAGATGTAAGCTACCCGGTAAAAAAAAAATATTAATTCTTTTAATAAAATTTTTGATTGACATATATTATCTTACTATTATATTTTTTATTAAAATAATATATAAAGAGTTATTATATTAATATAGACTATTATAGTACTAAGTATAATATATTTGAATAATAAAAGTTATATAAAGCTTAATTTAATATATTTAATCTAGTATATATTGATTTTAAACTATTAAATAGATGAATTTATATATGTATCAAGTAAAATTTTTAATAAATAGAAATATTATTATTGATTTTAAATTATTTAAACTATTTTAAATCTTGATTTTATTTTAAAGATATTAAGCAATTATTTCAATATTTTAGAGATTGAGACTTCTTTAGAACATTTGTTAAAATTTATAAAAAAACATATATTTTTAAAGATAATTAAAATATCTGAATATTTTATTTAATATTTTTTATTTCAAATTTAAAAAAAATATTATATTTATTATTATTATTTATAATTTTATATTATTATTCAAATACTATATTATAATATATTATTTAATCTTCTTTTAAAAAGACACATATATTAAAATGGGCATAGGAGGAATAATCGTTAATCTAACTACACAAGAAGAAGTAGAATTTAAAGGCAGATGCGAAGGATTCCCTTCTTCCACAAGAGCAGAATTAATAGCAATTCTCATAGCACTATTACTGATCAACATAGAAACTAGAGCAACAATATATACAGATAGTCAGAGTGCAATCCATACAATTGAATCCAAGATCATCCAAAAGAAAAGAATTGCAAAGAGCACCAACCTCATAACATTAACGTTAATAATAGACAAAATCCAGTCAAGAAAGGCATCCACCCATTTCAAAAAGATTAAAGCACATACAGGAAACAAAAACAATGAACGGGCAGATGAACTAGCAAAACTGGGCAGGGAACTAGGCTACGAATG